ACGATCTGATGAAAAGAGAGGTCACCCCTTCTCAGTTCATGGACTATGCAGCATTGGAGAAGACCGAGCGGGCTGAGGAGGTGATGACATACTTCCGCCGGATGAATTGGGCACGATTTCCGGAGCTGCACTTCCCCACCTATCCACACCTCACCAGAGCATTCTTGGCCACCTACAGCTTCGAGGATAATGGGGTTGAGAGCAAGCTTCAGAGTACTTTGGCCGGGAAAACCAAGTCCCTCACTTTGAGCCAAGTAAACCGAGCACCTCTCTTCGACGGGCCAGCAGTCACAAGCACCCCCAGTTCCGCAGCCAGCAGCTACTCCACCAGTTGTGCCAGCTTCATCATCGTCTGAAGACGATCTCAGAGCCAGAATAGCTATCTTGGAAGCCAGAGACGCAGAGAAAGATAAGAAGATCAAGGAGCTACACCAGCGTCTAGATGAGAAGTTCGGCACTTCTTCATCAACCCCTCCTTCATAGGAGCTTGTCCCGAGGTTGTTTTTTTCTTTTCTTTTCTTTTCTTCTTTTCTTTGTGAATACTTCTGATGTGGGTCTGTAATAATGTTAGTTAGGTGAACCTGTTGGTGTGTCGTGTCTAGTTGTAGACATTGTGGACAATGTCCATCCTGAGTGTGGGGTGGATGGTCTGTGTTCTTGTCGTGTTTTATGTCGAGTCTTAGTTGTCCACAGTGTCTCGTCATGTGTATATCATTTCTGTCAAAAAAAAACTGTGTAAAAAGCAGGCTGCCTGTGCAAAGCTAATGGCTAAAAAACACCTAAAAATCAGAAAAATAAAAAACCAAACCTTGTACTCTTGTGGTAACATGATGTAAATGACCGTGATGCTTTGAAAATGAGTTTGTGCTTGAATGAAATCATCGAAGTCACCCCACTAGTGTTGAATTGCATGGTTCTTCACAATGAGCTTGAATGTTTTGACTGACTTGATATGCTTTGAATGAGCAAACTCTTTTAGCAACAGCCTCTTTTGTGAGGATAGTGTAATGACTTTTGGTGAAGTAGTTAGGTGGAGAACATTGACCATTCGACATGTTTGGATACCGTGCTTACTTGCATCAATTGTGAGCTTTTGATTTTGCAATGAGTCTCTCTGTTTTGAATGTTTTATGATGGGGTGAACTGTATCTTTATAAAAAAGAAAAACACTACCTGACAAGTAAAATATAAGAAAGTTGCCATAACAATTAAAGTGTGGGTAAAAATGCCAAAATCGTGTGAGGCAATCACTCATTGCATATGGGGATTAGGAAAGATTCAATTGAGAATCGGTTCGCGACCGTACGATGTTGCTTATCAAGTACGATCCCCAGTCGAGTGAAGTGCCATTTGAGGATGTGCAATGACCCTCCACACGGACCGAGGAAAAGGAGTTGAAAGAAGCCCTTATGCGAGTGCTAAGAAGCAGAAATTGCTCTTGCTCGGTCACCGGTAGTAAGAAACAAATCCCACTTGTACTAAATACGACTTCTCGGCAAGCAAAAGCAGAAAGAGAGAAAGCCTCTCCTTGTCATAAAAGGTAGTGATGTGCTTAAAGTAAAATCATGTTTGCGAAAGGCTTCCCCCATTAGTTTTTTAGACTCATGCTTAATTAATTGCTTATGATTGGTGTGAGTAAGCCAGACTGTCCTCACGAGATATGCACTTCATTGATGTGGTTAGATTCTCCTAATAATTGTTGCACCATAAGTTGTTAACCACCCACTACTGACGATCGAAATTGAGTGTTGCTATTTGAGTTTTTGATGGATTTGAGTCAGTCAATGGTTAAGGGTTGCAAGACCTTGAGTGTGGGGTGAAAGGGTATGATCAATAAAGCACAGCTCATCAATTGAGAAAGAAACTACTGATTACAACAAGAGTACAAGGAAAATTTTGTTTTGGTTTGAGTGTTTGATTAGTGAGTCTGTGGTGTGTCATTGTTTTGGATGGTTATGTGTTTGTGTCTTTTGAGTCGTTGCTTAGGGACAAGCAACAATTGAGTGTGGGGTTGTGATATTCGGCTTTAATATATCGGATTCTTGGACTTTATGTGATTATCCATTATATATTTAAGTCAATTGGTGCTAGTTTAGGGCTCGCTAACCCGAGAATGGTTGAAAAACCATTACTACCTAGTGCCATGAGTTTGATATGTTACAGGCGGAGAAAGCACGAAAAAGAAGCGAGTGCACAAGCAAGTAATTGGGTCCAAATCGCTTTATCTCGGAGAGGAGACACAATTGGGCCAGGAAGAGGAATTAAGTGGACATGGTCCATTTAGTTGAACCGGACATAATTAACTGGGAACAGAAATTCTTATGGGCCTTAATGGGCCGAGAGGAAGGCTGGGAATTAATTTGGGAGCTGGGCGGAATTCTCTCGAGCTGGGGGAAATTATTGGACCGGAATTACATGGGAAAAGAATGGAAGAAGGCGGCTGGGCCAATCTCTAGAGAGGGCCATTATTTGGAGTTTTTGGGACACGGAAGCGGGGATTCTCGGGGGAGGTAGTTAGAGAGAGGCAATTAATCTGGGACGGAATTCTTTGGAAAAAGGCGGGGGGAAGAAGCGGAACAGCTGCAGCGAACGACGAGAGCGCAGCGATTGGAGCATATCACTAGTGCCTTTATGGTACAGGTTAAAATTGTACATTTACGTTATGGTACAACTTTAGATTGTACCTATACTTTTTGTACAAATTCTTTTATGGTACAACTTGAACTTGTACATTTATGTGATGGTACAACTTCAAGTTGTAAAGTTGTACCATAACATAATGGTACAAATTGCTTTATGGTACAACCTAAACTTATACATTTAATGTTATGGTACAACTTTGAGTTGTACATTAAAGCACCAATTCTATATAGCATAGTAGAAGTGCTCTCAGATTTTGTGCTTCTATTCGTATCAGTATTTTCTCTCCTTTTCGTTACTAGCATTATGATGAACAAGAACATGATTGTGTGTTTTATTTTCGTCATGAACTAAACCCCGATTTCTGGGGGAAACACCATAGGATGTAGCTATCTCTTGATTTGATGGATTGATTTATGATTCTTTTCTTCCAATCTCTATTGCATGAAATTCCTTAATGCTTTGTGTTGACTGGCCACCAATACAATGAATCGTAGTTAATTAGGTTATTAGCGACAGTGAAACCCTAATAACTGAACCTATTTCATGTGACATAGTAACTTATCGAAGCGACAGTGGATTAAATAAGTTACTATGCGGTCTTAATTGGGATATCGGTCTTCAGGCTAAATAGTTAATTCATTGAGCTACGACAATAGGATTTGAATTGATTATTTAGTACGTAGTAATGCCCGACAGGGATAGCTAGCACAGTAGTGATATCCTGGCTGTAGAGATATGGAATAAATTGATTGGAATGTATGAATTAATCAGGATAGGATAGGTAGTGAATCCCGGTGTTTCTCCCAGAGCTTTCTCCATTGAATTTCTTCCGACAGTTTTCATTTGCTTAATTTGTTTAGTTTATTTTGCTTTTAGAAATTAGTCTCATTAAACTGTTTTTACTTATAGTTTGCTCATAAAATTAATATAACTTAAGGTTGTACCAGTCCCTGAGAGACGATACCCGGACTTTCCGGTTTACAACAAGATAGGAATTGAAGCTATACGCTTTTGCCCTATCAAGTCGCATTCATGATCTTCCACGCGGGCAGTTTGCACATTGGACTTTATTCGACTGGGGAAAGTCTCTGCTTATCCATGGCTCCTTCCTCGCAAAGTTCATGCCCTGGGGCTCCAAGATCGCAATCGCGATCTTTGGCTTCTGGTCCGCGATCTTCAGCGAGTCTTAACGAATGGAGATCTCGCCCGTGATCTTTTGCCTCTATGCGACAATCATTGATCCTTGCCCCTTTTCTACACTTGTTACCTTGTTTTGTACCTAATTTGAACATATTGACTAATACCCCCTATAATCACGTCAAAATCAAGTAGGAACGAAACAAGAATGTATTTGACAATGTTTAAACGATTAATCACATGAATTGGCACAACACATACCCTAAAATGGAGGATAAATAACACTGATTTTGGTGGTATCAGCCGTCTCAAGCTCAAACTTGCGGGTGGCATTAGTTTGAGAGTGAATGCGCTGCAAATGCTACCACATATCATGGGCAGTGTAGAAGCCCCAAAGACTCAAAGTGATGCCCGAATTGACCGAAGGGAAAATCCATAATCTCACATGAGCATTGCTAGCCTCCCAATCCGCCTTCTCCTTGTATGTGGCTGTATCAGCGGTACGGGGCATAGAGCCATATAATACCCCACTAAGCCGAAGACCTTGAACATAGAGTCGGATGTGAAGTTCCCTAAGTGGGAAATTCCGTACTGTGAGCCTCACAGAATCCGATCATGCTTCCCTTCCACCGAACTCATGATAAACCCACCAAAAGAAATAGCCAACCAAAAAACTCTAACCATGAAAACCCAAGAGAGACGAGAAAAGAGCTGGAAGAAATATCCCCGAAATGCAACTGCACAAGAAGTCACGAAGGCAGCAGCAAATTATAGAAGAACCCTAAAAACCCCAAAGTCCACGATTAAGTCGAGAAACCACGCAGATGCTTTGATAAAATGTCAAACAATACGAAAAATGAAATCGAACACAAACACGCACACGATTTACGTGGTTTGCCCAACTAGAATAGCTGAAACTAGTGCACGGAGAGGGAGCCTCTCGAGTCAATCTTATTAGGGTTTAGTCACATGAATACACCAAAGAACTTAAGGTAAAAATAAACTTGGCCACTCCACAAATATATATTTATTCGGGCCTAATTGTACATGTTTTGCCCCCCATTTTCCTAAGTCATTTGTGGCAATTTCGCTCATAAAAGGGTGGTTTAATGCTAGGTTTCTCGTGTTTTAGTGTGTTTCAGGATTTATCAGGTGAAACCATCCCCAGAGTCAAAAGTCAGAATACACCATGTTCAAAATCAGCATAAACCATGTTCCATAACCTGAACTCCAACCCTCAACAGACAAGTCCTCGAGTTGTGATTAGTTGCCCCACATCTAGAACAATGAGGCCTTCTTCTAACTGTCTCCTGAAAGACAATTAAATTCAGATCTAACTATTCTATGAACAAATGAAATTTGAGAAGCATAGTAACAATTGACTTACCCCATTGTCAGGTGCAGACACTGCATTCTGTGGGGCAGCACCTCCTCCCTTCTTTTCCCCTTGTTTCTTCCTTTTACTAGCCAGAGGAGCTGGTTGTGGTGCCGGTGGATTTGTGCAACTCCTCTTATTATGGCCTTCACCCCCACACCTCGTGCAATGGACTATATTGTGATGCCTTGTAGCAACCACACCAGCACCATTTTTAGCACTCTTCATGAGCAACTCGGCAGCCTCCTTCCTTCGGTTTCTCTTTGGGCGGCCATGAAGTTTCCTTATCTTTGGAGGGTAGATCTTGTACCCTTCCACTGGCACCCAAGCTTGAGGTCGTTCTGAAGTTGGAATTGGATACTTGTATGAATTTTTCACATTATCCATTTGAAAGTACCGATGCACATACGCCTCAGGATGAAATATCATAGAACGAATGGCTGAAACAGCGTGGCAGCAAGGAATGCCATAAAGCCTCCAATATCCACATGTGCAGGTAGCAGTCTGCAAATCAACAACATACCTTTTCCCATGTATCTGCACCTCATGTTTGTGAGCTGAAGATGGCCGACTAGTACACAACCTAGCTTCATCCTTATGCTTTTCAAGCTTACTCTTCACAACTGGACGAAATGTCCCTCTACAGCGACCCATCTTCTTTTTGTTGCTCACCAAACGAGTCATCACAGCCCCCCTGATTCCCACTAGCATCAAACATCTTAAGCACTCGGAACTTCATGATCCAATTATCAAACGACTCGCACACATTGCTCTCCACATATCCACATTTTGAATGAGTCTTCATGAATACTCGACAGAACCTCTATGGTTCCATGGCCATAAAGTCCTCATACACAGTCCCTCCAAGTTCCTTCATCTTGGCAGTGGCAGCTTTCCAATCAGCCTCGTTGGTGGAGTAGACTGCTTCCCAAAACAACGTGGTAGCCATATCAAATATGTGCTTTGCTTTAAAGTGTGCATGTACATGGCAAGCACACTTCCTATGCTCTGCCTGCGGCAAGCACTCATGGATGGCATCGACCAAACCCTATGAACAGGTAGAAAATCAACAAGATAGTCAAATTAAAAGCAAGATAATATGTAAAGAAAATTAGCCGAATTGTAAACAATAGTCAAATTGAAATAGTAAGCTTACCTTTTGTTGGTCGGAAACAATAGTCCAACCATTGCCATCTAAAAGGTGCATCTTTTCTTGCAATGTTTGAATAAATCATGTCCACGAGCTCCCGTTCTCAGACTCGACAAATACCCATGCTATCGGGTACATGTGATTGTTTCCGTTCTTTCCAACTGCACTAAGTAACATGCCTTTAAGTACACCTTTCAAAAAGCAACCATCAAGGCAGAAGAAAGGCCTACACCCCTCCAAGAACCCTCGAGCCAAGCTTGAAAAGCCCACATGAAATTGTTTGAAGTAGACCTTCTCTGATCTAGGATCCAAATCAACCTCTAGACGAAATGTTTCATCCGGGTCCACTCTCTGAAGATGCCCTACATATGAACGCATCCGATGAAAATCTTCTTGCAATGTGTCATGGATAATGCGTCTTGCTTCTATGCGATCTCGGTAACAAGCTTTTCGTGTCACCTCCAGGTTGTGCTTCTGCTTTATCTCAGCTGCCATCAAATTCACATCCCAATCTTGCTCCACCCTAAACCGCTCCAGATATTCAGTAGCTATCCACTTGGCAGTAGCACCGCGGATACGAAATGAACGCGGGCAATCATGTGGTGTACCAACACCCTGGACCATAAAGGTCTCTCTCTTCCCATATCAAGAAGCATACACCCTCCAACCACACTTTTGGGCACAGACAACCTCTTTTTTCTTCTCACTACTACGTACCCATCGTATATCAGCACCAATTTCGATGGAATGTCTTGTAATGGCATCTTTAAATTGCCGAGGACTAACAAACCTCATATGGGTAGGAGATCGACAATGTCTTATTATCGCAATTGGGATCATAAAAATGACACTTGTCGATCATGGAGCCTTCATCTTCCTCGCCAATGTTGCCACGGACATGATCTGAGTTCTCAGACCACCGATAGACTGTTGCTTCAGATCCTTGAGCTTCATCATCACCCATACCACCACTATGCTAAACCTCCTCTTCTTGTCCCTTGGCGGCCTCTTCATCCACATTCACACTAGGTTGAACAGGCTCGCTCACCTCATCGTGGTCTACAAACAACTGATCAACTTCTTCTCCAGATTTAGTCTCCCCAAGCCTAGACCACTGTAGCATGTGACGATAACGGGCCCGAATTTCATGGTATTCCTCATCCGACGTTTGAGCCTCTTCTTCCTCTAACCAGACGAACTCGGCTACGACCGAGTTGTCACCCTCCTCATCTTCAACCTCCTCGCTATACCCATAGTTGTCTCCCATCTCATGAATGAACTTAGTTGCTTCAAAAAACAAGGACACCTCTCCTTGCTCGGCATCCACAAGTAGGCCATTAATCACGTCGGCCTCAGTGCGTATCTCGTGGAGCCCATGTTCCATACTTTTGTCCCGGAGTCAAATATCACACCCTCTCCACCGATGAGTACTCCAAATCCTCAATCAATGTACTCACCATCTCAAAATATGATATGCGATCAACAAGCAACTGAACTCAGTCGACATTCCCGCCAACATATTTTCGTACCTCAGTAGTTGTATCCATCATTCCCCCATGATGAAAAACCAATTCAATACTCATCCTGCGAAAGCCAGGCAAAAAAAGGGTCATCTAGTATTCTAAAACTCTTCTTTTTTGGCCGCATGTGTCTAGACGAAACACAAACACATACAAACAAACAAGCAGTTGTTGTAACGCCCTAACCCGGCCGGGTACTACTATTACCAAAATGCCCTTGATAAACCGTTAACCAAAATAAGTACCAAACAGACTGGGAAAATTAGCGGGAAACTTTATTTAAATATCCATAATAAATACGTTGAAATTCAAATAACAATTCCTTGAAATTAGCATCAAAGCAAATCATAAACATCTTTAATAAATGAGCATCAAGTCTCGAACCCTACTAATACACGAGATTAGAAACTTCGTACTGGAGTCCTCTAGGGCCAATGATCCTTGCCACGAACTGCGAACTTCTAGCATGCTCTGAGCTTCTACAATTCCTGAATGCGGGCGATGGGGTCAGTCCTAGTCCTAATTTCGTTATCATACATAAACATACAACCATGAACATGAAACGCTTTAAGTACATTATTGGGTGTATTATTAGGAGTCCTTGAACTTATGATTCTTGTTTACTTTATAAGTGTCCTGCGTATTTTATCTTAAAATGGGGCCTCATCCTCCACTTAGTTAGCGCAACCGTCCGGTAAAACTTGTCATAACATATCTTAACATGACTACCCTCACAATGGGGAGCATAAACGTTTAAACTGTGCAGATCTGAGGAAAAACACCCACAGGATCCTGCGCCTATCTGAGGCGAAACACACACAATGGGGATCCTGCTCCTATCTAAGGCAAAAACACCCACGCAATGGGGATCCTGTACCGCGTGCGTAGCTATCTAAGCGAGGTTAAACGTGCTCTTACTTATTTGTACCTATTAACTTGATAGTTCTTAAACTTGGTTATCTTAATCTCTCACTCCTGAGGAGATGTAATTAACTCATACTCGCTTGCATACTTGAAAATTTTGGTGATCTCCCACAAAATGGGAAGACCAACTTATTAACTGGCACAAGTCAGCTTAGACTTGAATACCTTGAAACTTAGTTTGCTGATGCTTCATGATGCTATACACACTTAAAGTAATGACTGAACGTAAATGGCTTAGCTAAACATGAAAGCGTATAAGGAATAACTAAAACATAAGGCATGAACTGAAATGCGTAACATAAACGTAAATGCACAAACTGATAACGAAAACTACTCTAGCCCCCTTTAACCACGCACCTTACTATGTACGTAACTAAGAGTCCTCATTCATACATCTGATCGGTTGGCTCGTGATCCTCCATAAAAGCCATCGTCTTGACCTCATCAGACTCATCCATATGTCCTATAGTTAGTTAAGGAAAAACCACCAATCTTCCATTATTGATTTCCTTGACCGCCATTACTAATCGCCACCCATCAACATATATAACACTACAGTTGCATCTTTATACTTGAACTAAACATTCCCCTAATACATCTTCTAACTCACTTATCATAAGCATGCAACCTATACGTATTAATTACTTGATGAAATTCCTTATGCTTTTGCCTCCTGCCACCATTCACATCGAAGAACTAAATAAACCATGTTGACTAATTAAGGACCCACCGAGCTGCCAAATCCTTCTCCATCCAAGTAAAGTGTGAACGAGGGATAATTCGCTTACCTGCGGTCTAAGTCCCCGCCGTTGCAGTAGCCAAATCAATTAAGATCCATCGCTTTCGTATCATCTCAAACTACAGCTTCGTTGTCGCTCTAGCTCCCCAAACCTTGCTGTCTACGGTGCTCAACGGAGCTAAAGGTGGTGCGACCGGCTAGCTGCGTCAGGTCGAAGGGGAAACGACAGCTGGGGAATGGCGAGCCGAACAGGAGTGATGGCGGTGGTGTTTTATGTGGAGAAGTAATCGAGATCGCTTGCCCGGTTGCTGCTCCATGCTGTATGTGTATATACATATATGTCTGCGCATGTGACTAGGAGAGCTCGGTTTAGGGTTTGCTTAGGGTTATTAGATTACTCATCAGTCATCACTAATGAAGGGTAATTTAGGAATTTTGTAAAATATTATGGAAGCAGGTGTTACAATTGTTTATTCATTCTTAGAATTCCTAAACAGAAAAAACAAACAAAAAGGGACATTGTTTATGTACCCTTCCACTTTCCCAAATTCGATTCAAACCCATAAAGTGCAGACAGACATTGACAATGTTACCTGCTTCAGCTGAAAAGTTAATGTCGTATATGTGGTGGCCCCTTGCTCGGCTGGTCCCACAAGAAAAAGACAGAATGGAGGACTTCCGTTTATCGCCCTCGGAAGACAGGGGAGGGATGGTTGATCAGCGGAGACGAAACAAAACGCACAACCTTGTAGATAAGATGATCGTGCCGGCAAACAAGAGAAAAGAAACGCGGCGCGGCCAGAAAAAGGTCGGCCGGCCGCGCACTCGATTCTGATCGTCGGTGTCTCGATTGAGCTGGATGAGGAGGCGATGATGAAGGGAAAGTAAGGGGATAAGGACGGAAGGTCAAGGATCGAGCCGGCGAAGAGAAGAACCGAGTGTCATGCACTCCGATTTGGGTCGGATTTTGTTTTCTGAGGAGATCGAGGAAGGGGATGCGAAGGGTGGGGTTTCGCCGGGAGGAAGCAGGTCAAAGGAAAGGGAAAGGGTAAATGTGTGCTGGACTGTCTCCCTTTCCCTTTTTGTTTTGTTAATTTTTTTTAAAAAAACTTAATGAAGTGGAAATGTTCATAAAAAAGGAAATATTAGTGAATAACGTGGACAAGCTGCGTCACCGTCGAATGCTGAGTTAGCGACGGAGAAAATTGTTGACCGTCAAATTTGATAGTCCACCCGTCCCACAAGCCACATTTGTCTGATAATTTCAAAAATGGGTAAGAAATGTCTTATTTGAAAAATAGGGCTAGAACTGTCACTAACGCTATACTTCGTGCCAAACGCGGGTATTAACCCTTAAAAATTATTGTATTTTGTGAATTTTTTTTAGTAAGCAGTGTAGTTAGGTAAAAAAATCCGTCAGTAAGTAGTGATTCTGCTGCAACAAGAAAGAGGTCGGGCGCACATATACTCAGCTCTCCTCCCATTTCCAATCATGCCCGCCATTCTTGTACCCCGGCGCTGTTGCAGTCCAGTTTCCGACAACCAAAAGAAACACCAGAGATAGCGCGGAGACGAGGAAAAAGATCGATCACGGCACCTCCGAAGTTCCATCTCGAGAAGACCTAAAAGCTGTTTCGCCAGCTGAATTCTAGGATCGCCCTACGAAACAGCCGTCATAAGGTTCATTACCAGTTTGGCGATCCCCTCCCTTTCTAGTCATAATGAGTTTTCAATGAAGTGGTATTTAGGCTAATGGATTGTTACATTACATACATTTTGCTCGCTCCCAGTTCACCAAAATATTACTAGTGCCTCCTATGCGTATCACCAAGGCTGAATAGTTCAATTCGTATCAATTACTGTTTTGGCAATGATTATTCTTGGGTAATGCTTTGAAGGGTTGGTTTGTTCAGTTCTGATCCTAGCTTTAGATTTACCATCTTTCCGTTGCAGGGGTATATTAGCTTCGAGTCTTGCCAAGTTAAAAAAAAAAAAAATCTGTATTCTCGGAAACGGGGAAATAATGTATTGCAAGCTTGGTACTTGTTGAATGAACTGATCCTTTATGGTATATGACCTTGGATATCCACAAGGCATGTTATTGAGAGTGTAGATTGTCGATGCTTTATGCTGAAAAGGAAATCATTTTCTACATCTCTATCCTCATTGGTTTTAGAGAGATATCTCCAGTTTTGATAAGTTGGGATTCAGTCAATTGGTATAGCAGATAGTACTCTTTCATTGGAGCCATAGAGTTCCACATTCTTAGTGAGTGTTTCCCCCTGATGGGCAGGCAGATATATGGTTTGTGAATCAACCTTAATTATTACATAATAATACAACTTTCAATATGATATGCACATAACTTAACTCATGTTTGAGCCTAGAAACCCCACTTTTCTTTACATTTACAAGGGTCATTATACTGGCTGGTGCCGGCTACCTGGAGAGATGATGTGGGTGCCCCCTTTCCTGCCTCCTGCCACGTTTACAGTATGTGGCAGATATCAGCATTCCATACGATTCTGTCCACCCCTTAAGATGCATACCCAAAATTGTTTGAAGGTGGATGACTAGATTCCTTTCTGGTTTGAGCGAAGGGCTTGTTGCGGATAATGAGGCTGATGAGTTTGTTTGTATTAACAAGTTCTTAAGCAATGATATAATTTGTGACCTTTTTGCTTCAGAATCGCTACAAGTCAACTTTTACCTTACCATCTTGGCTTCAGTCATATGATAGTATATCTTATATCAATCACCTTCTGCTGCTCATCAGGTTTAGAATTAGAGCCAACTATGGGTTTGGCATCTGTTAATACTGCCAGTGAAGGTATGCAACTTTGCATATTTGATTTGAGAAGAGGACAACAAGAAGGCCAGGAACTCGACAAGATTTTATTTTTCTTTCCTGCTGATTTGCCCTTTGCAACCCAGCTTTCTGTTATAGGACTCAGCGAAGGGCTCATAACTTTTACAAGGTTAGTAGCTATAAGGTTCAAAGGTATTATGAAGTGGATGCTAACAGTGTGGCAAAGAGCGGAAGGGAGAGTTATTTGGTTCTGTTGGAAGCTGGATGATTCCCAGCAATTTCCTTTTACCTGTTGTGGTTAGTAATCTATGAATAAAATATTTTTAATAGGTTCTCTTTGCTTTAAAGAATGCTAAAAGCTTTATAATTAAATTCCAAATGATAGTGTTGTTAGGCACCTATATTCTTCAATATAGTATTCATGAATAAATGGAACATGATTGAAGTTCTGAATAAGACTAAATACTCCTTGTACACACAAAGTTTTAGTTCGTTCTTTCCAGTCGTACCTACTTTACCATTTAAAGAACCAATAGACCATACTGTTAGTCATAACATGACACAAATATCTAATTACTTATTCACAATGACCTGATTGATATGATTATTTGTTATGTTTTTTTTTGTGGGTTTTTTTTTTCCAAACATGATGAACTTTATGCAGGATTTTCTCTCCGGATGCAGCTTGTGAAGTGATAGAAGCAGAGAGGCACTCCCATGTCTTTTATGAAGCAGAATCAGACATCTGGATGGTCATGGTATCTCTCTTATAGTGAACCCATGGGTTTTCCTAGAGAGGACAGCTGATACAACATAGATTGCTTTCTTTCCATAGTTTCTAAACTTGACATGGTTTCTTGTCTTTGATTTTGGAGAGGAATGATTTGTCTGCAACCCCATTTCACGAGGCTTTCTACTTTCTGTTATTAATGTTTCAATATCCTAGAAATCCATTGTAAAATATAAACAAAACATGGATATCTGCTTTGGCTCTTGTCTTGGGATCTTAACTGGTTTGAGTTGGTTGCCACGTGCAACATCTGAGTCTTATTTTCATTATGTTTAATCAGTTTAGTTTTCCTTCCTGCGTGTTTATGGAAGTGGATTTTTGTTCTGACTCCTGATCATAAAGAACACTGAACCTGTCCTAATATTGTGTTTCTCCTCCAAGTCGAGCATCAGCAAATGTCTTGTATTCTTGAATCTACATGAAGTTTTCTCTTCATGTAGAAAGCTTTCTTTGTACCGGTTGTCCTAGTTCAAACTGCAAAATGTGTCTCCTACTCTAGTTTCTCCAATGTACCTTAAAAAATTCTTAGTGTACTTGTCTATCATATTAGGTGAACATGGTTTGATTACTCTCTTTATTAAATTCTGTGTGATTGTTCATCCTGGTAGTATTTGACCTTGGTGTAGGTAGTGGACAAAAGTAAGGAATCAAAAGCAGCATGTCAGGTTGATGCATTACGAAAGGTTCTCAAAGAAGTTCACTCTCTTTTTGTATTGTTCCATGGAACAATGAGATCGATGCTTGAGAAGGAAACTAGTGGAGGCTTAATCCGATCTCATTTATATCCTTTCATCACGGATTATCTTAGTGGTAAGCCTTTATTTTATTTATTTCATTGCATGCAGAATTCTGTAGGTCCTGCGATTTTGTTTTAGTATGCTATTTCATCTCATGTCACTAATTGCAGCATACCAAAAGCAGTCTCTATTGTGTAACTGCTGCTGGGGTAATTCTCAAGATGCTGTATCAAAATTTGCTTCATCAGTTTTGATCTGCCAAACAATTGCTGAAGTTGCGGTGACTTGAACCTTACCTGTAACTTTTGGGCAGATTTTCTTATTGGGAGGAAGCTCCAATTACCATCATTTCATGACTGTTTGATGGAGCGTGGAACTGTTCAAATGCTTACTGTTGGAAGGGAAGCTGCGATTGAAGTCCAGGTTCGACTTCTGAAAATCTTCTGAGGTGCTCTGATATAACTCAAATACCAAAACCAGATCAGATGGAACCCATAGATTTGCTAACTAAACTTCTATATATGGTTTCGGTTTACTGGACAGGTCTCATTTCCTTATGACCTCTCTTCCCCTTCTCCATGCGTCTTTATCAGATGGGTGCGTGCTTATTTGCGATAGCAGATCTTTTCAATGAAAAATAATTCACTGGAAACTGACAACTTGAATTCAACACCAACTTCATCAATATATACAGAACTCTTATTTCCCAGTCCCGTCATTCTTGGCTTCTCCATGTTGACCACTAACCCTCATCCACAAATATAGTAAGACTACTTAACAGACTCCTCGTACTTGGAGTAGCTCGTGATTGCTCACGTGATTCACTTATCTAACATTCCTGTGATCTCTCTTCCCATTGTGTTTGTCTTGTCTTGCAACTTCAGGAAGTTTGGTTTTATATGTTTGAAATTTCGATGCATACTGTGTCTGCTGCATGCACTCATAATTGGGTGGATTAATGATGATCACTTGTTGTAATTGCAGTCGCTTGTCAAGGTACTAGAATGTTCTGCTGGGACTACTTCCTGCTACTCTCTGGTTTTGTTCCAGGACCTCCTTGTGTCAACCACACTTTCTCCCGTATGGTTCAACTTCTACAGCTTATTTAATCTGGATGTCCTGTAGTATTTTTGTCTAATTATATGTATTTTAATTTACTCTCACAAGCAAAATAGTACCCAGCATGAGATATAAAATGTATAAGGAGGCTATGAACATGGTGCATCTGTCAGAATGACTGCTAATTCTGTTATTGAACCTTTGGTTTTCAGGATGACACCATAAGTTTGTTTACTTATGCTGTTCTAAGGTTGACTCCCCATGCTTTGTCATCCGGAGCAACTTCCTGGTCTTATTTACAAAGAACTAATGCAGGATCTCAAGTTCCCGCGTTGTCTACTATTACGAACTCTGGGTCTGTTTCAGATAACATATATCGCTCACGTGATGCTTCACTGGACCAAGAAAACAACTGCCAAGTAAAAAGACCATTACATCATAATA